AACTAGCGACTCACCCTCGCTTCGCTCGGGTTCGTCTCTACGCTTCGAAACGTACGTATGTATATACATAAGTATTATGAGTTTTATATACATTACTTCAGAAACGATTGATTCCCCATACAAACTTTCATCCCCTTTTTCTCTCCCTTAAGGGGTGATTTCCGGGATAAAACTATCCAAGGTCCATCCCAGGATCTCAAACTATCTTTATACCAAATTTCATCTAAATCGGTTCAAATTCACTCCATTACAAACAAAAATACATTTTTTCTCTTTTTATAATATTAGTATAGATAATTGATATTATATATTTTGCCTTATATTTCATTTAAGTAACAAAATAAATAATATGTCTAAGTCTTCTGCTGGTTTTCCCTGAATTTATAATAGGACAACACAAGTACAGGCAGAGCTTCCAGACTATAATTGGCTCGAGGCAAATAAGCTCTATTATATCCATTTTAATAATGCACACGATCGAGCTGGTTCGTTGTGCAGCTGCAGACTTATAATTTATTAAATTAACCGACTTCCAAAAGAAGGAGGTTCTATGTTCATCTGTATGTATGTTTTTTTTAATTATATGTCTAAAGTTATACTATTCAAAATATTCTTAGTAAAAAATCTGTCTATTAATTACCTATTGTAAATGCTAAAGTTTGTATGTGTTTGTATGTTTGTTCCCCCTTCACGCTGAAACGGCTGGATGGATTTTTATAATATGAAGTAATACATGTTCTATCAATGATTGTTACGCACCATTGTGACGAAGTTCGTGTAAGTGTGAAAGTGTTTGTTTGTTTGTCCTTCTTTCACGTCAAAACAGCGTGCCGGATTAACGTTATTTTTTGTGTGGAGATAGTTTGGAGGATTGGAGAGTGACATAGGCTACTTTTCACCGCGTTAGATTGTCATTCCCACGGGAAAATACGTTATAATACAAGCCAAAAAATTATTTATGATCGGAATTATTTGAAACTTGGTATTAATGCTCTTCGTAACAATTAAATAAATACGTGTTTTAGCATTTTTCGAAATTCATCCCATAAGGAGGTAAAATAGGGGATGAAAGTTTGTATGAAACTTACCTTTTTATATATTTTTTTGTATTTTTAGTGCGAGCGAAGCCGCGTGTTCTGTTAGTATATTATAAATACAAAAGCACCTGGGAGGTATCCAAGCTAAGCGATGGTAAGCTCTATACCTACCTATCAAAGAAAACCACAGATAGATTATGTTATTGAGCTGCGACGATAATAACCATGTCTATCAATGAGCTTTATAAGTAGTTTTGAATGTCAGTCTTTTTTTCTATATATTACCAAAAAACACATTATTAAATAAACGAAATTTTTTTACTGTTTTAAAATGGTTTATATTGGATAATAAATATAATTAAATACTCGTATGTGAAGAAAGTTTTATATATATATATATATATATATATACAAATTGTAAGAGGATAATAGGCATGAATATGGATGGACATAGATGCTATCTCCTCATAACATCAGTCATAAGGAGTTAACATCGGCTATCTGCCAGTAAAAGTCCCGTCAAAATCAGTCCAGCCGTTTCCGAGATTAGCCAGAACAAATAGGGAGACAAAAATTAAAAAAACGTGTTTTTCTTATAAGTGCCGTATGTAATTTCATATGCATTTAGTAAAAAGCTGTTATTTTAACATTACAAACAGACTTCAATTTTATTTATTTGTATAGATATCTATATAATAGCTTTCGTATACAGTAAATGGGGTAAGATTGGGGTTACAAAACATCCTTTCATAACGCGTCGCCTGTCACGTTGCCAAGGATTTGCTCGACAGCAGTCTTAGTTCTACTAATACGTTACGTTTAAGTGCACCCATTAGCTTTATTTGTAGTTAGCTTTCTGTCGAAACTTTAAATGTTTTTGCAGTATTCACGTTAATTTCTTCTTATTTTTTTGTAGATTATATATAATTTTGGCAATGGATCACGCTATTATCTATACAGTATCGTCGTATATATATAGGATAACCAGCTATCGTCATACTCATCAAAATCTGTCCAATGGTTTGCTCGTGATGCTTTCCCGGACAGACAGACAAAAACTCTAAAAACTTTAGATTCGGCGTCTGTATCGATATTAATGACTATTTCTAAATATTTTCAAAAAATACTTAATGTACAGATTCAGTTAAAATTTTATTATATTATAATAGATAACAGTATTTATTTCTTTTATTAATATATAATTTAAAATTTAGTCGATCTGTGACATATATTAAACTTTATATATACAACTTCTTTTATTTTCACAAATAAAATCGGATATATCGTATTTTATTGTATAAAAAGATAGATTTGATATTTTTCTCACGGATTTCATATATAAATTCGTCGATTATTCGCTGAGCTTCTGTCACAAGTTTAAAACCGATAATGGTTATAAGCTTCTCTTATAAAGCTCTCTCCATACATTCACCTTACATCTACTACTACTTATTTAGAACTTGAAGTTCTTCGTTAATATATTTTCTATAATAATTATGGAACGCGAAAATTTAAAAAGTTATAATATTTTAAATAATATTTTTTTGGGATTATTTCGCGGATTTATTTTGATTTTTGGTTCCCGACGTTTCGAATGCTTTACAGCAATCATAGTCACGGGAGAGAATCGAGTAAGTCTTTCTCTCATAATACGAAAAAATATTATATAAAATGTCAAATATTCGCGTATATTTAAGAAATTACAAAGTTATAATATCTTTTCTTTTTGGCGATCGTGGATCGCTGAAAATAATTCACTGATTTTGAAAATTCTCTCACTAATAGAGAGCTACAATTCTTGGGTAATACATAATATATTGTTCTTTTTTCATTGACATATCACGCGAATGAAACCACGCGTGGAAAAGAATTAAAAGTACTAGCGATTCACGCTCCGTTCAAGTACGTCCCACACGTGCCTAACAAAAGCATTATAATATGTTTGTATTACTCCAGGTCTAATCTATCTGTGACTTAAATTACATCCAAATCCGTCCAGCCGTTTTTACGTGATGGAGTATATATATATATATATATATATATATATATATATATATATATATATATATATATATATAATACAAACTCTCGTATTTATAATAGTAGACAGATAGTAATTATTTTTTTAATTTAACAAAGTGCAAGTATAATAAATGTGCCAATATGAATATTTCCTTTGCACCCCACGTGTAGGAGTAGCAAGTTAAAGCGAGTTTTTAACTCCAACGCGTTCTGAATTAATAGCATACTATTAAAATTTGATCAATCGTGCTCGGAATATTTTTACACGTTTTGTACTTCTAAAGTCCTCTGGAACATATTTTTCTATATGTTTAAAATAAGATTGTCATTTTCGTATCATATAAAACGTAATATCTGTACATTTTAATGTAATAAGTATGGATCTTCCGTGACCATGATTGCTGTAAAGCATTCGAAACTTTCGCAACCAAACATCAAAATAAATTAGCGAAAAAATCCGACAAGATAGTTTTATTAACCGACCGAAAAAGGAGGAGGTTCTCAATTCGTCGGAATCTTTTTTTTATGTATGTTCACTGATTACTCGGAAACGCCTGAACCGATTTGGAATTTAATTTTTTTGTTTCAAAGGGTTATACTTCCCGACAATAGTTTAAGATATGAATATCTAATATGTAAATATGTACGAGTATTTCATCGAAATATAGTAGATTTGCTTTGTATCGGCTGGAACCGACTTCGAAAATATCTGATTAGGTATTTATTCTAAATGAAAACCTCCGTTTAGTTATTTCTTACATTTTAGTGCCCGGAAGTCGGATTTTTAAAGTTTTTATTTAATTAAATGAATTTAAAAAAATATGATGTAAATTAATTTTGATTTAGGATCAGTGTGGAAACTATTTCTTCCATGTTACATGAATATAATGTATTTATTTTGTTAGAATTCTTAAACTTTCTTTTCCAAGGAAGAGAAGAATATTCTCCTTGTTTTGTATTAATGCTAATCAAAACTTATTTAAAACTATTACAAAATTTCATACTTACCGAAAATATTTGGAAAATTTTGTATTTGGAAGATATTTCAATGTTTCTAAAAGAAACAAAACGTACCTACAGTTGTTAGAATTCTGTCTGTTTTTCAATCGAGCGGGGACGCAGACAGTAGCTATTGTGCATCAAGAACGAGCCCTTAGTTTTTTACAATTTAGAAAAACACTTTCAAAATGGAAATTTAAACTAGAAAAATACCCTTTCAAATATACTAGTAAAGTAAATAATAATAAATAACAAAAATCTAAAAACTGCTCAAATTAGGGAAGTATATCAAATTTAATTACCTATAAACATTCGTAGTAGGTACATCGCCTTCACGACACGTTTGGCTCAGTTTGTAGTGACCCTACTTGCTGTGCCAGCGGTCGCGGGTTCGAGTCCCGCTGGGGGCATTTGTTTGTGTGATGAACACGAATGTTTGTACTCCATTCTCATCTATATACGTATACTGAACCTTTAAATACATACATATTTATAATATGTATGTATTTAAAGGTTCAGTATACGTATATAGATGAGACTGGCCTTTGTTATAATTCGAGGATAAAGTTAAAATATATAAATAATGCCTACTTTTACGCAGAATTTCAGTAAAGGCTTAACCTCTCCTAATATATTAGAAAAGTTATAAAAGGGAAAAACCGCTTGTAAGCCATTTTAAATCTATACTTTTATCTATGCACTAACTTTATTATAAAAAAAATTATACACGATGAAATTAAAGATATTACTTTTTATTATTTTTTAACGAATAATTAACAATACTAAAATAAATAAGAGAAGCGATGATGTGAACGTCCGTCCGTTCCGGCAGCCACGACAAAAGTAAAGTTAGCCGCTCCAGTGTCGGCGACTCGTGCGTTGTCAAGCGAGCCACCACGCCACCATCACGCCACAAATTACGTCACTCAAGCCACGTCCCTATTCTTGAGCATTCTCCGCTAACACGGCCTCTCCTGACGGCGGAGCGCCCTCGCCCGCTCTTTCAGCTATGGTGACGTCACGTAGGTGCGACGGGCCAGCGATGATGCTATCGTCAGAGCAGCTCTCATTCTCATCACCTGGAAATATAATGTTTACGATGGAATTATGCCAACAAAATAAACCATACCAGCAATAAAATACTGAAAAATTGTAATTCAACAACAGAGGCCGCAGCATGTTCTTAAATACATGAATTTTAACATGTGTCAGAGCCCTCAGGATGACCGAGACAGTGACCGCGGTATATCTCAAAATAAAACAATTATACATAACATGTTATGTGTCAGAGCCCACAGGATGACCAACATGTAATAAAGTACTATTTTTATTATATCGCTTAAGTGATACAATGCAAATAGTCCCTATTACAGTTACAAATATACTCACACTCGAAGAATACGGCGCACACATCTGGTGTCCATTCTCCGTGCCAAGCACTTATATGCTCAGCAGCAGCTTCTGTGGTCTTCCCGAGTGAGCCAGAAATAAGCTTCAGCTCGTATCGACCATGAGGCAATGCGCGCACAACTTTGTACGGACCGCGCATGCCAGAGTCAAGTTTGCCCACAGATTGACTGTTCTTATGTACGAAGACCATGTCATTTTCATGAAAAACATGTGGGGGCTTGCGCCGTTCATTTACTCGAGTGTCTTGCTGTTTTCTATTTTGATCCAGCAATTGAGATGCTCTTTGTCTGGCCAGCTCACGTAATGTTCAGAGTGAGCTGCAGTTTCCATAAGACTTCTGACCAACTTTCATTTCTAAAATTAACCTCCACACGAATCATATTCAGAATTGTCCTGCAATATCGCTCAGCCTGACCATTACTCTGATGCATCTCAGGTGTTATAAAGAATAAACTACTGCCCACGTCTGACAGCCATTGTTTAAATAATCTACTCTCGTACATTCTACCTCTATCGACTACAATCTGCCTAGGTGTGCTAAATAAGGATATAGCATTCTCAAAGACACGCTTCAGTTCATTAGCGTCTTGTTTATATATTGGATACAACAAACAGAACTTACTATATGCATCAACTATTAATACAACGAATTTGTAGCCGTTCGACTCGGGGAGAGGACCTAACACATCACTATGTACCGTATCAAAAGGTACGTCAGGTTTTCTCCACGACTGGATCGGCTGCAAAGGTTGACGTGGTACCTTTTTATGTGAAAGACATACTATGCAATGACGTATATATTTGCGGACAAATTGTCTTAAATTAGGAAACCAAAAATGATTTAGAATTAAATCAATTGTTTTATCTGCACCAATATGATGATGCTCATCGTGAAACACACGCAATAGACTAAGGCGGTGACCTTTAGGGATAAAACAGAGAAGTTTAGTAGGCTGACCAGCAGAATCAAACTTATAATACAGAATATTATTTTTTAATACATAACGTGTCCCATCTAGTACACCGTCCTCCAATTTTTGTATTAAGTTTTTGGTTTCCTCGTCCGCATTTTGCGCTACCTGTGCCCAATTACAAGGTCTTCTAATCTCACAAATATTTATCGGATTACGACTTAAATAATCGGCATGAGGTAACGCAGCGCCTTTGCGATACTCTAATACAAAATCATAGTCTTGCAAATAGATCCACCACCGAGCAACCCTCGGTAATAAATCTTTCTTTCGCTGTGTGAGCTTCAAGGCGTTGCAGTCCGTAACTACTTTGAAATGTATACCTATGAGGTAATGTCTGAAATATTGCAACGCCTTGACCACTGCCAGCGTTTCAAGCTCATAAGAGTGGTAACGCGGTTCAGCACCCTGAGTAACTTTACTAAAGTACCCAATCACCCGCTTACTACCACTCTCATGAGTCTGGATTAAGACAGCCCCATAGCCTAGTGACGAAGCGTCAGTGTGCACTTCCGTAGGTAATAAGGGGTTAAAAATGTCAAGAACTGGTTCGCCAGTCAAACGTGTAATAATGTACTGGCGAACTTGCTCTTGCTCGTCACCCCATCGAAACTCAACACCCTTTCGAAATAAATTGGATATGCACATTGTCTTTAATGAATACTCAGGAATATAACGTCTAAAATAACCCGCCAAGCCTAGAAATTGACGTGCTTGTTTTACATTACTGGGCCTCGGTGCCCTTTTCAAGGCTTCTACTTTATGAGCGCTTGGCCTAACCTGACCATTGCTGATTGTTCTCCCCAGATATTCTATTTCGTTAGTAAGGAATTTACATTTCTTTAAATTTATTGAAAATCCGGCTTTAGCTAAAACTTCTAAAACTTCACGCAAAATGAGGAGTCCTTCATGAATAGTCTGGCTAGGCAAAAGCACATCGTCAATATACACTAAGGCCCTTCCTGTTTCAATGAATGTCTTTAGGGTATTTGTGATAATGCGTTGGTAAACAACCGGGGCATTCGCCAACCCATAGGGCATCTTGAGATATTCAAAATGCCCCTCAGGTGTTACAAAACCAGTTTTGTGAATGGAGTCGCTAGCCATCGGTATCTGGTGAAAGCCAGTAGCCATATCAAGACTCGTGAAATATTTGGCATTACCTAATCGATCCACGTGATCATCTATCAATGGCAATGGGTAGCGATCCTTCACAGTATTTGAATTAAGTGCCCGGAAGTCCACGCACATTCTGTCGCTACCGTCTTTCTTCTTGACTAGTAATATTGGACTCGAGAATTCTGATTCTGACTCCCTTATGACCCCTTTATCAAGAAGGTCCTTAATTATATCCCGAACGCGGAGTTTTTCACTATGCGATAGTTTATAAGGCCTATATACAATAGGAGTTTCATTGCTGAGACGAATTTGCATAGATCCGGTAGTAACAGTACTGATCGCGGTACCAGTAATGAAATATTTTGAATATTGTTCAACTAAATTCAACAACTTGTCCTTGTTTTCACCTATCAAAGGAGTATTAATAACGGAGATCAAATTTGACTCAGTCGTCTCAGCAATAAATACCCTTTCCATACGAGTTAATCGTTGAATACCCTTCTTCCTTATATAGGTAACCCCTTCTCGGTTCAAAACATCGGTTCCAATTATTATCGGGGTATTCAAAAATTTGTCATGTACTATTTGAAAATCAATTTCTAATGTGATTTCCGGAAACTCTACTGTTAAAGTACTAAAATAACGGGATTCAATATCACGATCACTAATACCGCGTAAAACACAAAAAGAGGGTACTTGCTTGCATTTAAAATACTTCGATACAGAGTCTGACATAAGCGAGATCGTGGACCCACTGTCTATGAGGATATCGACCGGTATACCCTGTATGACCGCCGTAGTTATATCATTCTTTCTATAGTTATCTACAGTGTCACGGCAAAAATTAACATTAGATTTTCCATTAGCCTCGACACGTTGCTTGGCAAAGCAGTCCTCTGTTTTGTGACCTATTTTTTTACAAAACGAGCAAATAACAGACTTTGACTGAGAGGAACTGCTACTTGTTTTTGATGTTGTAGGTTTATCATTTCTAGTAGGTGAATTATGTAATCTTGTACGCTTCGAACAATTTATCTGCTTATGACCAAAGGATCCACACGAAAAACAACCCGTCCTACTAGAACTATGTTACCTTTTACGCGATAAAGTCGGTGTATTATGAAAACGACTAGAAATGTTGCGGGTATTATGATTTACTTTCGTCTGAGAGGGTTTTACGTATATAGACAAGAACTCGACCAGATCATTAGGCATTAATTTTGCATTGGTAGCAGCCGCACGGATCTGTGGATCAACTATACCACGGATTACGATCGCCGATATTAATTCGTCACTAAGTCCGTTTACTATACGAAGACGTAACAAAGATCGCCTAGCATACTCCGCATATGTAGGGTAGTTATTAGAATCAGTTTTCATAGTGTCAAAAAGTATATTCGCTACGTCTACCTTCCGCGGACACAAAGGTTTAAACTCACGTTTAAAATTAGTCCAGCTACGATCGCTAGTAATCCAGTCATTTAACCACACACGAGCGTCCCCCTTTAAGCAGTTACCAATACGCGCCAAACACTCCCTATCGTCCCATTGATGAATGATTCGTAAATGGTCGACCTCGTCACACCAAGTATTAATATCATTTATATTAGGATCAAAATTCGATATATAAACATTGTGATTAGACCTTACCGGAATTAGTCCATTGATTGCACTTACAATCTTGTCGGCTACCTCAATAGCAGCGCTATCATTGGCGGAGACCTGCGAAGCGTGCACAGACGGCAGTGGAGGCGTCACACACGTCGTTCGCGATGTAGATGGTGCACGCGACACTATGGTGCCTACCGCCGGACCCGGCGACTCCACTACGGGCTGCCCGCCAATGGTAGCCACACTAGTTGAACCTAACCTGGAATTGTCTTCCAACACATTCAGACGAGAAACAATCGCCTGGAGTTGTTGGAGCAGCCCAGGGCTCGGAGAACGTTCACATGTCCTACTTTTATTTTTTCGTTGACTTGTACTTGATTTCGGCATTATAAAAAGCTGACGAACTTTCACTCAAAACTAAAAAGATTTACAAAAACAGTTACATCAGAATGCCACAGCAGGCTTAGGGACACACACCAAGCTATAGAAACTTAATGCGTATCCCACTTCTGATTTTATCTATGCACAAAAAAATTATACACGATGAAATTAAAGATATTACTTTTTATTATTTTTTAACGAATAATTAACAATACTAAAATAAATAAGAGAAGCGATGATGTGAACGTCCGTCCATTCCGGCAGCCACGACAAAAGTAAAGTTAGCCGCTCCAGTGTCGGCGACTCGTGCGTTGTCAAGCGAGCCACCACGCCACCATCACGCCACAAATTACGTCACTCAAGCCACGCCCCTATTCTTGAGCATTCTCCGCTAACAATACTTAGTCTATACTAATATTATAAAGAGGTAAAGTTTGTGTGTTTGTGACGTTGTAGGGTGTAATCTCTGGATCTACTAAACTAATTTAAATGAAATTTGGCAAGAAGATAGTTTAAGACTCTAGGAAGGACATAGGATACTTGTTATCCCAGAAATCATCCCGTAAGGGTGTGAAAATGGGGATGAAAGTTTGTATGGCGAATCTAGGGTAAGTCGCTAGTTATAAATAAAATATTACCCTCAGATTAAATTTTTACTTAACCTAAAACTAATAATTATGGTAATTTAGATACCCAATGTATATAAAAAAGCTGTTAAGTTCGTCTATCTGCTTATACGATTTCTGTAGGCTTAGGTATCTAATTAACAATGATTGTACGAGTATGTGTAATTTATGTATTGAAGAGAAAGGGGCCTCACGAGATAAGGAAGATAAGGCGGTTTTAACGGAATGATCAATTTTAAGGTTTTTTTATAGTGTGAGGAAAGGATTCAAATGTAACTTAGGCAAATTTTCTTTCACCAATTCTTCTCAGGTCTGAGGCTTCTTCTTTTCGAACTGGTAGTAGACTCATGACGTTCAGTAAAAAATTGTAATAATTTAATGCTGAATAAAATATTTTGAATTTGAATTTAAACAATGAGATACGAAGCTAAGTCGGGTATAGAAGTTAGTTATAAATTTGATATAAGACATTTGTAGAGAAAAACGTATTATATTTTATATTTCATAGATGTTAGTATTTTCCCAATTGTAATGCTCTTTCCCGCACACGGTCAAAGCGACCTCGAGGGAAATTTGTACACAAATCTAATTACGATTTTGCATATTCTCGGAATTTATCCGGACACGGCCTTCGCATGCAGTTGTCGGGGTGAAAAGGACCGTTTTATTTACTTTGGAATTCATATTGAATGGGCGTAATAACTTGAAAATTTTGATGTTTTAGATAATTTTTCAATGATTTTTTTCTTTATAAGTCGTATTTCAAATAAGAAAACTCAAAGAGAAAGTCAGTTGTAAACGCTACGAGTATATAAATTTTGTCGGTCACTTTATAGAGAATAGTTTGCTTAGTTGAGTATTTTTAAACAAAGGGTATTCTAATATTGGCAACTTTTAAAGCAAATAGTCAGAACTGTCGAAACTATTGTTTTGGATCGACATGTTCGGTGCAAAACTCCTATTTTATTCGAAGTATTTAAATTAAAAGTATTTATTTTGGCTTGAATATACATACATATTATGTATTAGCGACTCACCCTCACTTTGGTTGGTTCCCCGGTTCCGATTGATTCCTGTACAAAACTTTCATCCCCATTTTCACCCCCTTAAGGGATGATTTCCGGGGTAAAAAGTATCCTATGTCCTTCCCAGGGTTTCAAACTACTTTCTTACCAAATTTCATCTAAATCGATTCAGTAGGTCCAGAGATTACCCTCTACAACGTCAGAAACTCACAAACTTTACCTCTTTATAATGTTAGTATAGATTAATAAGAATTATATTTCTTCTGCTAATTTTTAGAGAGATGCGTGATTGCTGTCTGATACATTTATTGCATTATTATTGCTTGTTCGAGAAGTGACTATTTTATATGACTACAGATCCGTAGGTCCTTAGTTTCAGTCCCAGGTGGAAGCTAAATAGATTTATTGGGCTTACCTTTTACGTTCTTACCGGACTTTGAGAGTGATAGGAATAATGTGCACGTTGTGTTAGAGCATTGCACATTATCTCTATTCTATATGTACAGAGGGCTTGGCTTGAATATTATTATTTCTGAAACTTGGTGTACTGGTCGGATAATCTGTTTTAATGCTAAAGGTTACGAATTAAAGCCCAGTTTGACAAAATCCTATCTAATATATTTAAACGAGCAATTCTTGTATATATACATATATAATCTGAATCTTGGAAACGACTCCAACGATTTTCATGCAATTTAGTATACAGGGAGTTTCGGGGGCGATAAATCGATCTAGATTACTTTTATGTCTAGGAAAACGCGTGTTTTCGAGTTTTCATGCGGTTTTGTTTCGCATTATTCCACGTAAAATATGGCCGCTTATTCGCACGCCTATATGTCCTACATAGGCATCGTGGTCAAGCGACCAAGGCGCAAGTTTGACAACCACAGGTATCTGGGTTCGTATCCCGATCGGATACAAAGTTTTTATTTTGTTGTTATTGTTTTTTTTGTATTTATTCAAATTTTTAATTTGTTTTTTTTAAATGTTTTTTTGGCTAAAAACTCCGAGCAATGCTCGGTAGCCCAGGTACTTAACATTAAAACGCGAAAGTTTGTGAGGATGTGTGAATGCATGAATGTATCGATGTTTGTTTTCCTTTCACGTAAAAACTACAGAACGGATTTGGATCAAACTTTATAGTAATATAGCTTATAACCCAGATTAATACATTTAGTACAATTTATAAAGATTTAGCAATAAATAAATGAACTACTCAGGTGGGAAAAAAGACATATAAGATTCTGACATAAACTATTATAATGGTTCTTCCCTACACTATTAGACTACTTTGGAGAAAAAAAAACACTATCATAAAGTTGATACTTTGGCCTGTTCTTGGGAAGGTTAGTGTAAGATCTATGTGTCATTATTTATTTTTTTAAATCCAAATAACGTTTGAATCACTAATCATACTCGTATATGGGGGTTAAATCAATAGGTACTGAACTGAGGTCCTCGACCACCATGCTAGGTTTGATCCATCAGTTATGTTACACACTGTATATAATATAATATATAAATATCTCGAGTTACGGTGTTTGTGGTCGTACTCTTCCGAAACGGCTGGACCGATTTCAATTATCTTTTTTTGTATATTAGGTAGGTATAATAGGTCGTAAAGTATTTTTCACCCTCCTACCCCCACCTCCCATTTTTTAAAGTAGCTAGGGGTGAATCCGAGTGTCGCGAGGGTGAGTAGCTAGTATATATACATATGCTACACACATGAACATAATACAATGAAAAATCCATAATATATGTTTATTCAGTTTTTTTCAATTATGCTTTGTACACAACTTGAACCTATTACAATTTTATTATACGTTCATATCGCTCATATATTTTCTATAGAAGCGCCAGTTTTGTAATTCAAATGTATTTTTCTGACCTTGTTTACTCTATATAGCGTTATCCGTTTTTTAGTCTACCGAATTTGGGACAAATCAGATCGAGAGTAAATAAACATATTCATATTTGACCGACTTCAAAAAGAAATGATATATTTTTCTTGTTTGTACGTTATGTAATATGTTGATCAATGGTACAATGATTTTGATTATATTTTTTTAATAATAACTTAAAACTCCTCAGTTTCTTTTTGCTAAAAACAATTATTTAAGTTTTTCCTCTATATATATAGATTCAGTATTTTATATTATATATATATATATATATATATATATATATATATATATATATATATATATAATATAAAATACTGATTACATGTTGGTTGGTGTTATTTGTCTTGTTTAGTTAAGACTTGTTCAACATCTATGTTTCATATAATATGGTAGGTATTGAAATATTAAATTAAAAAAAAAACTGCTTTAAACTTATAATGTTAATTAAAATTAGTATACTGTCTTAGTAAACTATTTATTTAGTATCCAATTTAGATGAAATTTTGTAAGAAGATATTTTGAGACCCTGGGCAGTACATAGGATAGTTTCTATCCCGAAAATCATCCCTGAAAGGGTGTGAAAATGGGGATGAAAGTTTGTATGGGGAAGGAACCTAGAGACGTACCCGAGCGAACCGAAGTGAGACGCTAGTATTTTATAAAATCATTAGTGCATTGGACTCAAAAGTCGTCGTATTGCAATTGAAAGAGTATTCTTAAATATAGGTATAATATGTATAAGTCATAAGTTTAGAAACTAACAATAAGTGACAGATAGTTAAAATTTTAATCTATTTAATTACAATAAGTTTTATCATAATAGATATCTTGTTTCGTTGTCTTATTATATATCGTTGGTCGATATTTGTATATCCGACTCCGACCGAAGTTATATTAAAATAACAATTTTATAACTAAAAAAGATACTCCATTTTCAACACCACTTTGCAATAATTATCCGCCTTTAGGGGTGAACTTTTCCTTGAAAGTACGATACTACTCTTGAAGTTGTTCATAATACAAAGAATTATGAAAATCGATTAAAAAAGGTCGAAGTCGATAAAAAATGATACTAGTAAGTGTACTAAACAGAATAAAATGAATTTTATTTTTAAATATATACTTACTAGCGCCTTATTATCGCTTCGTGCCTAATAAAAACCTATGTATGTATTACTCCAGATCTTATTCTATCTGTTCACTTAATTTCATCTAAATTCGTCCAGCCATTTTAGCGTAAAGGACAAACAAACATAAGAACCAATAAAGAAACTTTAACATGTACTTTGTAAAATAGCTCTGAAGCAAAGAATGACTGAAAACATTTGTGAAAATCGCATTTCGTTTCGAATCACTGCACTATAGAGAATATGCACCTCACAATCTTTGAAATACTTAGGTATAAAAGAGCTTAGAGTTGTATTATTAGAATATTTCAGTCGCATAGAGCCACATGTTAAAAAGGATTTAATTTACAGCTGTGTTTCTTTAAGAAAAAATGAATTTGTACACATTTTACGCCATTTTATTGTATTGCAGTGTACTTGTATAGTGTATAACAAAGCATATCCCAGACCCTGTCTTCCAGTGATCCAGTCCTTCCCATCCCATTAATATTATAAATGCGAAAGCTTGGATGGATGTTTGTTACTGAATCACGCCAAAACTGCTGAACGGATCTGCATGAAAGGCACAGATTATAGTCTGGAATAGCATATAGGTTTCTTTTTATCCCGGAAAATGTACGGTTCCCGTAAGATAGATTTTTTTGGTTTTTCTCTAGGGGCGAATCTGAACGAAGCGAGTTTAAGTTGCTAGTTAAAATAAACTAGAGTTTACCAGTGGCTCACTTATGTATTTATATTTCAAAAAATCTTTTTATTAGCCAATTGTTATAGAGATTATACGGTGTAATCTTAGTTATATTTTTTAAATATGTTTATTTACTCTTTAAATTATTATATTCAATTATATGTGATATATATATATATATATATATATATATATATATATATATATATATCACATCATCTCTTATTTTTATGCCTGTAGGTTGAATATCCAAAAATATTTTGTAATATGTATAAGCAATCTTCCTGCTAAATTTCAAGTTTGTAGCATTTATATTTTTTAAGATATCGTTACAAATCATTGAGTGATATTGCTTTGAGAGAAAGCTACTCCATATTGTAATTTTTTTATATATGTTTGTACGTACTTGACACACCCCAGAACTGCTAAACAGATTGTAATGAGACTTTTTTGACGGATAGAGGATTTAGATACAATCGTATAGGCTTTATCTATCTAAAGAAAAATCTTGTTTGGCTACATGATTTTTCATCGCAAGCGAAGTCACAAGTTACAGTTACTGTTAGTCATAAATAAAAAAAATATAATTAAAATAAAGATATTTATTGAAACATGAAAGAAATTCATTTACAACTTAAGTTATGTACGATAGGAATACTTTAGTAAAAACTTTGTTGTAGCCATGTAAATTGGATATAGCCATATATATATATATATATATATATATATATATATATATATATATATATATATATATATATATATATATATATATATATATATAGATCTGTGTGAAGACAAAGTGTTACGTTAGAACTTGCTAGTTTCAACACCGTTTCTGTCATAGAAGCAATCAACCACTTTAGACGGTTAAATTATGCTCTTTGATATCGTATTTGAACAGAAGGACCATATGAAATGAAGGCTAGCACTTTATGTGTGTTGTTGGAATTGAAGTATAGAAACGGCAAAACTGCCTCGGTGGTGTAGTGGCTAGCATGTACGGCTGCACACCCGGAGGTCCTGGGTTCGAGTCCCGGGTCGGGCCAAGTTTAGTTATTGAGTCTTCCTGTATAGTCCTTATATAGTCTCAGTAACAGCCCGGAGTTGGGAAGTTGGCGGTGTGTCACCCCCGTGCCTCGGAGAGCACGTAAAGCCGTCGGTCCTGCGCCTTAACTCTCACTGGTCGTGTCGAGCAGTCGTCCCACCGGAGTATGAGAGTGATAGGAATAGAGAGTGCACTCGTGTCTGCGCGTACACTTGAGCACTATAATATCTCCTGCGCAGTTGGCTAATCTCAATGAGATTGGCCGCCGTGGCCGGAATCGGCTAGGAGAACATCATCATCATCATCATAGAAACGGCAAATAAAAGGGTCGATAGCTAAAGTTAGCTAGCTTCTTTCTATGGTTCTGTTCGTATCCGAAAATCCCTTTGTTACTCAAACATTATAGTTTTTCTTACTATTATTGCAAGATTTTTTTGAATAAACCTATTCTTATATCATAGTAATGACTTACTCTCACTTCACTGAATAACCATTTTTTTCCTACTCAAAGCTCAATTCTTTTCTAAAATAAAAGTAGCCTGAAATGTTAGAAGGAGTATTATTATTATTAATAATAATACTCCTAACATTAGTTATCTGCCAGTGAAAGTCCCGTCAAAATCAGTCCAGCCATTTCGGAGATTAGCTGGAAAAAATTGACAGACAGACAAAATTAAAAAAAAAATATATGTTTTTCTTATAAATACTGTATATAATTTCATATGCATTTAGTAAATATGTAGCTGTTATTTTGACATTACAAAGAGACACTTCAATTTTATTAATCTGTTTAAATGGGTACACTAACGGAGATTATCTCCACATCTAAGTACATATATATACCTAAAGAAAATAATCATGTTTATAATAATACATGAAGACATCAGATATTAAATTATTTATTTATTTATTAATTTTTGGAAACAAACAGTGAGGTAATTCTTAAAAATAATTACAAACTAAAACATCCACACACCAGCAAAATTTCCAAACATTAAAACAATGAAATAAAAATTTTAACAAAAGTTACTGCAAAATAAAAACAATATAAAAGGGCAACAAAAACAAAAATGACTAAGTGAAAATTATAAAAAGAAATAAAAAACAAATTATAAAAATAAGAAATAATCACAAAAAAGTAAAATGTAAACTCTAACAGAACATAATAAAAACAATAATAAAAAATACATAATACGAATAGGCAATTTAAAAAAAATAATAATGGTTACGATAAAGATTTTACAAACATTTTCTTAATAATGTATACTTAAATTAAATTATAATTAAAATAAGTCAATGCTAATAAATTTTTCATTATAATTATCATATGCTCGATTAATGAACGAATTTTGAGCAGTTTTAATTGTGGATCAGAAACTACTTATTTTGAGAAGATAATCTAGGACATCTAAAAACTATATATATATATATATATATATATATATATATATATATATATATATATATATATATAATTATTATTTATTTTGTTACAGATTACCTCAAAATGTGCCATCTATGTTCACACCAAGCTCTTACTAACTAGTCGCTATGTGTGCTAGCTTAGAGTGTGGATATTTGCCTCTGAGTGCAGTGTTCCTATAAAAATGGAAAAGGTTAGCTGATCGAGGAGTCAGCCGCGCAAACCCCGCAAGCGGCTTATTGGGCGCATCATGGTAAGGAGGGTTGTATTCTATGAAATACTAGCGTTTTCCTACGGCTCCGCCCTCATAGTACATTAATCACCAACATATCATATACTAAAACCTTCTCCGAAACACGCTGCATCTTATGGTATGAGTATTATTCCAATCGATTCAGTAGTTATCGCAGTATAACCGAACGAAAAATCGGCTCTCTATTTATTAGTATAGATAAAAGATATTAGCGATTTACCTTCGGTTCGCTCGAGTGCGTCTAGTACGAGGATTTTATTGACAATTTCATGGGTTTTTATTTTTATGCGCGGAACCCTGATTCTTTTTCTAAAATAAAAGTAGTCTACGTTTCTCCTTATAACATCAGCTATCTACCAGTGAAAGTCCCGTCAAAATCGGTTGAGCCGTTTTAAAAAACCCTTCGTCTGAGGAAAAGCTTTAAAAGACGGAAAGGCAGATAGACCGATCTAAACAAAGTAAGCCTACAATGATTTCATTTAATAAATACGCTTTTGACCAAGCCTCGTAGTTTTTGCGTATAGACACGAGTAATAGATTAAATTCGCCTAAATTCAAGGACTTTACTCGTATTATTTACTCGGTTTCAAACATTGCACTTTCCAGTACTACTCTAACCTAACTAGATCATATGGTTTGTATTATTATCGATTTTATTTTTATTTCAGATGTTCATTGTTTTATAATTGAAAAAAGACAAAAATTAACAAAAAATGTTTCTCGGAGACCATAAGTTCGATTCACCATAGTATGTAATGGTCAAAAATATCATCAAAAATCAATTCTACTTCTTTCGAATTCAGATATTTTGTCGTTCAGCTGTTTTCATAAAGCTAACATTAAAATTTACCTTAAACTAGCGGTCGTCGGTACGTTTAAACGGTTAGTCTGGAATAGGTATATATTATATGACATATAGCCTATAGTCTTCCTTAGTAAACGGGCTATCGAATGCAAAAAGATTTTTTCAAATCGAATTAGTAGTTTCTGAGATTAGCGCGTTCAAACAAACAAACTCTGCCTTTTTATAATATTTGTATAGATTTGGCATGATATAAATGTATTTAAATAATATAATAATATATACATAGTAGACAAATTATATTATAGATGGATAGATAGATAGATGCTTTATTGTACACCACAAATAAATATACAAAAAGAAGATATAAAAATATTATTATACTAGCATTGCCAGCGGCTCCGCCCGCGTTTAGATGATCAAAAATAAAATTCTTAGGTTTTACATATTATTATATTCTTACATTTTCAGTTCATACATCAGTTTTTTGTATTTTTATCAGAAATGAGACATTTTCCCGCGGTAAAAAGTATCATATATGTTGACCCGGATAACTAGCTATCATCATACCAAATTTCATCAATATCCCTTCAGTAGTTTTCTGTGATGCGGTAACAAACAGACAGACAAAAATTCCAAAAACTCTAGATTCGGCCTCAGTACCGATAATAATGTTTATTTCAATAAGATTTTCCAAAAAATATTTAATGCACAGATTCGGCTTGGTTACAATTTTATTATATGTAGGTATAGATTTTAATGTAATTCATCCGATTCGACCAACGACATCCAGACTCTATGCAATGTAACCTAATTTAGGCGAAGATATGTAAGAATTTTCCAAACATTTAACATCGACGTTGATTAAATAAAAAGTCATGAGTAAAAGCTCACAGTATTCGAAACAATAAACAAGATAACATATTTACCAAACACACGATAACAGAGATATCAGATTAAAAGTTAAATATTATCGCATACGTTGAATAAATTGCCTTATTGATTTCCATATTTTGTTAGAGGAAGTCTTATACTTACATATGCCCCGTTTTGTACTTTCTGTTTGTACGTCTGCTATTCCTTCATGGCTGGACGGACGTATTTGGATAAACTTTTATATATAGAAATACTGTGATCTGGAGTAGCACATAGGCTAATTAACCGACTTTCAAAAAGGAGAAGATTCTCAATTCGTCGGAATCATTTTTTTGTCTGTTCTCCGATTCCTCGAAGACGCCTGAACCGATTTAGTTTTTTTTTGTTTCAAAGGGCATACTTCCAAGGTGGTTCCATATATATATATATATATATATATATATATATATATATATATATATATATATATATAATTTAAGCCATATAGAGATTGTACCTAGCGTAGCGAGGGTAAATCACAAGCTAACTTAAGTTAGCAGTCGATATGCAAATTATTCAAGTGACTTTCCACAGCACATACCTACCATTATATGATACGGCTCTGGCTTCAGCTTCTCATTAGTGGATGCACCCGTATAGTATAGAAATATTCATTGTTGAATGTTACGATATAATTATTATTTGAAGCATTCATCATTAAGGTGAATGCTATGTTATTTATGCTTCGGGAAATAACGTATTGTACAGACTGAATGGTATTCTAATAAAAAATAACTACTATTTTTATTTATTATTCAAACTCATTACAATTGCAAATCTAAATGTTGGTACTGATTATGTATATTGATAATTATGTATTAATATTTTCATAAAAAGCTATAGTATAATAAAAGTTGTTAAATTTCATATATTACTGAAACTTGTTTAAATAAATAAGGTGAGTAATCCAAGATAATTAAAAATAAAAACAAACTTTTTTCATTATTTACCTACTCAAATAAAAAAATATAACATAATATATTTAATAAAAAAATATATTTACATATGTTTGTATGTGTGTTTGTTCCACCTTTACACTGCAACAGCTCGATGGATTTGGATGAAATTTAATACATAAACACTATGACTTGGAGTAAGACATATATACGAGTAGGTACTGTTCGTAATATGTATGATAAAACGTGGTATTAAACGTTGGCAAAATAAAAAACATTCATATTATATTTTAAAGGGAAAAAGTCGATTTTTTCGTATCAACTTATAAAAAGCACTTATCCTTTAATGAAATATTATTATAATAAAACTAATAAAATAGTAGTACAGTAATATTAAAATAATAATAAAATATACATAAAATTATTTTCTTGCCACTTTAAATAAAGCCTTTGAAATCAAAGAATTTCAACATAACCTCATGAATGTAAGTAATATTACCAAATTATGACATGTATTTACTATAGCAGGTGTTCGGGGAGTGGGCTCAAGTTGAGGTGGTGGAACTAGTCAACGATGGGTCAGGGCTGGCGTTCGGTATCGTTGGCGGGAGGTCGTCCGGCGTCGTGGTGAAGAGCGTTCTACCAGGAGGAGTTGCTGATCGGGTATGAATCTTAGTATTTCTAGTTTTATATCTATACATATAATAAAATTCTAACTGAGTCGAATCTGTACGTTACATATTTTTTGGAAAATATTATTTAAATAGTAATTACTATCAGAAATAGTCTTTATTATCGATACAGTATCAATAACAGTTTTTAGATTTTTTGTCTGTCTGTCTGGGAAGGCATCACAAGTAAACCATTGGTCAGATTTTGATGAAATTTGGTATGATGATAGCTGGTTATCCAGGTCAACATATGGGATACTTTTTACTGCGGGAAAATATGTCATCTCTGAGAAATCTATCCTAAACGTTAAATCGTAAGCAGGGACGAACCCAAGCGGAGTCAGGGTGAGTCACTAGTCAGTCGCTGTTTGTGTGTGTATGTTTCTTACGCTTTTACGCCGAAATGGTTTGAAGGATTTGGATACGGCTATAAACGACTGTACTACATACTATTGTTTATCACCTAAGTTGATATTGTTAATTTTTTTAAATTTGAAAAGTTGTTTTGATTTTTGAATATCTTTTAGGAATTTACGCGTAAACTTTTCAATGAATAAAGATAATACTTTGCACACACTGAGCTAACATATGAGATCGTTTTAACCTTTATAAATAGTACAAGGTAAAAAACTTAACTACTAACTTTAAACTTTTGTGTTTTGTGCAGAAGTTAAATATTTTAAACGCCCGCTTAACCGTACCCACGACTGAAAACTGATTACTTATATATTTTTAACATAAGCTCTATTCCACAATTAAAAAAAACGAATATGAAGAAAATGATAAAAAAATTGAAGTATAGAAGTAAATAATCGCTAATTTGTGTGTAGCGTTTCGATAAAATATATTACACACTACAGATAGACCATGGCCAGCCTCAGCCAATAATCGACGAATTTACATATAAAATTCGATGGGAAAATATAGAAATCATATGCCTTTTATATTAATAGTACCTGGGCCACCGAGCTTCGCTCGGAGTTTTTTGGCCTAAAGTACAATTTTCTTTTTTTTTAACTATAAACTTGAATAAATATAAAAAAACACAAAAGTAAAAACTTTGAATGCGACCGAGATTCGAACCTGGACACCTTTGATTGTTGATCTTGCACCTTGGCCTCTTGACCACGATGCTTTTGCCCAAGCGTGCAAATTACCGACTATATTTTGCGTGGAATAATGCAAAATAAAACTGGATGAAAACTCCAAAACACGCATTTTCACAGACATAAGACTAATCAAGATCGATTTATCGCCCCCGAAACCCACTGTATACTAAATTTCATGAAAATCGTTGGAGCCGTTTCAGAGATTCAGATTATATATATACATATATACAGGAATTGCTAGTTTAAAGATATAAGATTATATACAGGCGATTTAATTTCATAAAACCAACTAAGGACGAGCGAAACAAGCGCCAGTCGCTAGTAAAAAAAGCTATATATATATACTTATAATATGTACTTATAGTAATTAATAATATATGATCCACCCACTTCTATTGTTTACAAATATGATCAACTAATAAATTGCACTTAAAACGATGCGGTTTCATTACGGTAGTGGTTTTTGCCACAGAGGCTAAACATACTTTATTTAATTAAACCTCTTTTACGAGCTGAAAAAGCTTTGTATCAAAACGGAATGAAATTCAAAATATGAACGTAAAGTAGATTACATTCGGAACGAAAGTTTAAATAGGATTACTTTAAAAAACCGTATTGTGTGCAGTGAAATGGTTAGGTAAGTGGTTGTGTCTAATATGAAATAAACCATCGGTTCAATTACAGTGCAACTAAAGGTATTTTTCATTTTTTATAAAAAAAATATGTCGCCTTTTTTAACACTAATTATACAAAACTGATTGGTTTTTTTTTAATATTTGAGCCCACGTAACTCTGAAACTGCCAGTTCGCTATGGAAAATATTTTTTTATATGTTATAGAATTTATATAGAAGAGGTATATATATAGGTTATCTAACATTAATGCACATCTCTAGAAGCAAATTTTACATACGTTTTGCAATAAACTACGCGAGTGGAGTCGCGGATACTACATGCTATATGTATATATTAATTGACGTATTATTATGTAGTCTATCTTTATCGTTCTGAAACCATTGATTAAGTTAGGGATCTATTAGCAGAGGGCCTGTGAATGATAGGCATTGTGGAAATAAACCCCCAAGTAAATGTTAATATCGGTTCAGGACCATTTCTCTTATAGTGTGAGAGAATTGTTTTTAATTAAGATGAATCTTTATCTGCTTTATACTAGCGACTCACTTCCGTTTTGCTTGAGTTCGTCCCAAGGGGTTCATTTATCCCGGAAAAATGTACGGTTCCCGTGGGATAGATTTGTTTTTCTAGAGGTGAAATCGAGCGAAGCAAGTGTGAGCTGCATTTGTATAATATAATGATTAATTTTAAACTGAAAAGATAGACCGATAACAAAATTAATGTTGAAAGCACCTTTATTAGTCATTTTTTTAAATTTTATAGGACCAAGCATGAGATATAAAAAAAATTTGCTTATTAAAAACTAACATACCTACGGTCATTCATATTCATCATACGATCACGATTGCTAATATTTGTATAACTCGCCAATAAAATATCAAAGTTTTCTTTGGCACACAAAAATCACATAGCGTAAAGGAATGTAATGTAGATCAATCATTATAAAAGCTGACGGTTTCAATATTTTTGCACAACGTTTTTGTATTATTATAACTAATGACTTGTCCTCTCTTCGCTTGGGTCAATCTCAAGGTGACTTTTATATTTATAATACTAGCGTCCCTAGGTACGTTTTAAATATATATAAATAATAATTAGTATTTAGGCAGTGGTAGCCCAGTGGTAACGCGCTCACTTGGGAAACCGAGTGAAGCGAGTTCAAATCCCGGGTCTAGCGTCTCTGATATTTTCATGTGCGAATCATTTCCAACATGATTGCCACTTGTTTTAACGGTGAAGGAAAACAAAGTGAGGAAACCTGCATGTCTGAGAGAACCTAGCAAGTTTTCAAAAGACATGTGAAGTCCGCCAACCCGCACTTGGCTAGCGTGGTGGACTATGGCCTGATCCCCCTCGTACTGAAGGGAGGCTCGTGCCCAGCAGTGGGACGTTAAAAAAGGGCTGAATACAAATAGTTATTGGCCAGCATTACCCATGTAAGTTTATTTTTTTCGTGAATTTTCCGCTGTTTTAATAGTTTTCTGCTATTCGGGACGGAGACAAATCCAACAAACCAAAGTTGGTATGGATATATGAAGAGGAGGGATGAATCGCATGTGACGAGAGGAGTGATGGAAATGGATGGAGAGGTAGAGGAACCCTGAAGAAAAGATGGATCGGTTGTATGAGACAGGATATGAAAGAGAAAGGGTGAATGATGAGGTGACGAATAATAGGGGAGAGTGGAAGAGGAAGACGTACTGCGCCGACCTTCAGTAATTTGGAAAATGGGCTGCGGGATGATGATATAGATATATTTTTTTAAATTATTACGTATATATTATGTATATGTTTACGTATTTGGACGGATTCTGATATTTAGTTATATTACTAGATCTAAGTCGTTTCAGTGTGAAGCAGTAACAAACATACCCACATACAAACTTTCGTATCTATAACAGTAGTGTGATACCGCTTAAAACAGGCCAATTAAATTACAAGCTATACTTACGATAAACCGTATAATATTATCGTTAATAATATAAATGTTTTATTTATATGTATTGTAAATTATTTTCTTAGACAATAAGAAGCCTGATGGGACTTCCCATCCGTATTCCACACTAATATATAGTATTAATGTGAAAGTAACTCTGTCTGTTACCTTTTTGATCAGATGTCCATAAAATTTGCATCCTTGGGACAAACATACCTTTGATCTCCACCCTACTATCTATGAAAGCGAAACCGCGGACAAAAACTAGTTTAGTTAACTAGCTTTCATGTAAATTGGAAAATGGTCCTTTTAAACTTTACAAGCTGTTGAAACTGTGCATTATCTGTCAGTCACTTTTAGATAGATAATAAAAGAATTTATAATAAAACAATTGAATTAAATCTAAAGAAATTTATAAAGTAGATAGAAGAATAATCTAAATTGTTTACTTATTTCTTTACTTTTATACGAAAGATTTCTTTTATAACACAAGAATTGAATAGAATTGAGAAAAATTTATAAATTAGAAAGAATAATAATCTAATTTGTAACTTATTTCTTTATTTTTATACGAAAGATTTATTAAATTTGGAAAAACATTGGCCTTGACATACGTGCAGCAATAAAACGGAAGTATAAAACAGTTATAATGTAACATACATACATTATAAAACGTGAACCGTTTATTTTTAGTAACGAATAATATCTCGTCCGTTAGATCATTTTGTATATTTAGGTCTTATTATTATTTCTGAGTTATTTCTCTACTATACAAGCGACTTAACCTCGCTTCGCTCGCGTGTCTCCCTACGTGTTTTTCAGTAGCCTATTATTTCAGACTAGCGACTCACTCTCGCTTCGCTAGGGTTCGTCACTAGGTTGATTTCCCATACAAACTTTCATCCCCATTTTAACCCCCTTAAGAGATGAATTCCGGGATAAAAAGTATCCTATGTCCTTCCCAGGGTCTCAAACTATCTTTTTAGCAAATTTCATCTAAATCGGTTCAATAGATTTAGAGATTACCGCTTACAACCTCACAAACATTACCTCTTTATAATATTAGTATAGATACTTTTCATCCAAATCCGGCCAGCCGTTTTACACACATACACATATAAACTGGCACTTTCATAATAATAGTTCTATTATAAGTTATTTTGAATTTTAATTTAAATTCCAGCAGCTACTACATGATATGCTACTACTAATACTAATTTAAACGTCGAAGTTGGTAAAGAACTATTGAACAGATTTTAATAAAACTTTTTAGTATTATAGTTTATACATTAAATGTATAGATATAGTAATATCTAATATCTTTAACGGAGCAATTCTTGTATATTCCTTTATATATATATATATATATATATATATATATATATATATATATATGTCTATATGATTATTAAAATAGATTAAGAATTTAGAAATAAAAACTCTGCGAAAACGTCTATTTTGTTCTCTTATTGTTAGTAGTTAGGTAGGATAAGATAAAGATCGTAAGACTAGTCGTTTGTGATTCAAATTAAAGTTTTAAAAGTAAGATATTCTTGACTTTATATAGAACTTTTCTTGAAATGTACTTAAATAGTTTGGTCGAATATTAAAAAAGTTTTCAAGATAAGTTTAGCCAATGTCTGACCAAAATATCTTAGTTATTATTTAATACTAGCGGCTCACCCTTACTTCGCTTCGAAAAATAACCTATCCCACGGGAACCGTACATTTTTCCGGGATAAAAAGTACTATATGATAAAAAAATACGCACAGTAATACATATTTTTACTGAATCATGGGCAGGATGGTTTGGATAAGATTTAGTAGGTATAAGCTAATTATATTACCATTTCAGGCTTTAATTACTGTTACACAATACCGTCATATACCGTCTATCTTTACTTCTCATATACATATATATATATATATATATATATATATATATATATATATATATATAAAAAAAATTCAAAGTCCTGACTTTATTATATCAATGCATAGCCTAAACCGCTGGTCCTAGGACATGAAATTTGGAGGTTGTGTTCTTTGGCAAGTGTAGGTATCCACTAAAAAAGGGCTTTTTGAAATTCCATCCAAAGTATTAGGGGGGACGAGGTGAGGGGGGCCTTGGGCAAGGTTAAGGGGTGTTTCTGTATTAATTACTAATAACATAAAGCCAAAGAATTTGTTTTTTGTACTTTTAACGCGAGCAAAGCCATAGATTCTGCTAGTTTAAGATATATTCATAGAGCATACGATGTGTAATATTCTCATGAGCAATGCATTATTTTAAGAACTTACAACATTAACCTTATTCTTCGTTTACACAACAATGGCAAATGAGAGCTGGTAAATTTTCTCGTACGTCGTAACGTTGCAAGTTGTTTACAAATATGGATGTAATAACTATCTTGTTGGTCTAGTAGTTAGCATGTGTAGCTGCAGATACAGAGGGCCTGGGTTCAAGTTCCTAGTCGGGCCAATTATAGTTAATAAAGTTTTTATTAAGAAATTATAAGTGGTAGCCCGGAGTTTAGTTGTTGGCAGTTGGCGTTATGGTCCCAACTAAATTTAGAAGTAAAAGAAAGAGCTTGTAAGCTTTAAAAGCTTGTAGCTCAGACTGCGTTCACATGTCACATCTTTGCAGATGGCTTGTTCTAGTGAGATTAGCCCCACGGTCGAAATTGGTCAGGAGGACGTTTTAATAATAGCCGATTAATGAAATTATCAAAAACTACAATTTTAAGTAGGTATCGATATGTACATATATTTTTATCTACCAACCTATACTTGAGATTTAAAAAAAAAAGCTAACTGTATTTTTTTTAAATCAATGTAAATTGTAATTACTATAAAGTAGTAGAATTTTGGATAGTATCTAATTATATTTTTGTTCTAATCTTCAATTATTTAAATTAATAACAAAAAATAGAATACTTTCTTAGATTGACGTGAATATTTGACATTTTAAATAATTTCTCAGTCTCTCCCGTGACCATGGATGCTGTAAAGCATTCGAAACGTTGGGAACCAAAAATCAAAATAAATCCGCGAAATAATCCGAAACGATAGTTTTATTTAAATAAAAAAAAAACATATTAAAATAATGGTTAAAAAAACTCTAAGCAGACCTACTGGTACCATAAATTCATTTCAATCCGTCGAGCAGATATAACAGCTTGAGCTCTATAGACTACGCGGTGTCATAAGCGGATGATGGACTGCATGTACTCGCAGCTCATAATGGATATATGTGCAATGTCACGCACAGAAATAGCTTTATTATTACTATTAACTAGCGGCTTACCCTGACTTTGCTCGGTATGTCTAAGTGCCAAGCAGTAGCCTATGTGTAAGACACAATCTATCTATGTATTAAATTTCATTAAAATCTGTACAGCATTTTCAACCCGAAGGAGTAACATATAAACACATGCGCATGCGCATACGCACACACAAAGACCCACACACGCACACACACTTAATAATCATGGTAGTCCAATATTATTAATTCAATATTAGTTTTTGACCGATTTCAAAAAAAAGAGGACGGGACTTCAATTAGATTGTATGTGTATTAAAAAAAGAGGCAACTTTGTTTACTTCTTGTAATACGCGCTTCACATTCACGAGAGAATCTCGCGAGAATGCGAGAAAAACACGAGAAACGTCTTGTTCTCTGATTTTTGTTGGTTTTATATGGAATAGATTTTTATTGAATAAGCACATAATATAAAGATTCTTAATTAGATATTATTCAAGCCGGTAGCAGCCGCTGCGAGATAAAACAAACCTATTTAAATAAGTATGAATCATAAATTGGTATATAATATAATTTTACTTAGTGCATTCTAATCATATCTAAATGGATCATTTTTATTTGTAACACAGTGAATGTCAGACTGTCAAAAAGTGATAAAGTTTTATTTTGATTTTTGGCAAAGATTCAAATATTTTAGCAGCTTACTAGATTTGTTCATATAATCATAATTTTATATGTTAGTTTCATTGTCTCGAACAGGTTATGTTAGGAAAAATTAGATTATCCCTTCCAATCTGCGTTTACTCGTCTCATTAGCGCCCGGAAATCTAGCCAGGCGTGAAGTCAAGAAACGTAAAGGGAGGTAGCCCCCCTCAGTGAGCGATGTGCCATTCGGGTTGCTCCTGTTACTTCTCTGATAGCAGAGTTTATCGTGGGAGCATACCCTTTGGTTGTATGGTCTGCTTTATTAAATCAAACTAAATAATCCCAAATTCAAACTATTAAGAACCGTTGAAGAGTTCCACTAACCATTTTCTAGCCTCACCATTAGATCAGCTCTAAGATACCAAATTACTACACTATTATCGGAATTACAAGCACTTGAAAAGTTTCAAGTCGATATGTATAATACCGTTTAAAGTAGCAAAATCTGTCAAGCCATCTCAGAGAGATCGGTGAACATACATACAGACGAACATAGTTCCTCCTCCTTTTTGGAAGTCGGTAAAAAAACATCGAGTATAGGTAAGTTTAAAAATATCAAAGTTGGGACGTATCGGTGCTAATATAAATCTTCAGCGAGGTTAACTGGAAAATATAAGTTTACTGATCATTATCGATGGCCGAAGACGTAAAATTGCGGGTTAAGTTCGCGCCACTAATATTTTCTGCTTGTCTGACATTTGAAAATTTAACATTTTTAACCGACTTCCAAAAAGGATGAGGTTCTTCTTAATTGGTCGGAATCTTTTCTTTTTTTCTTTTTTTTATGTAGGTATGTTCACCGATTACTCGAAGACGCCTGAACTGATTTGGATTTTTTTTGTTTCAAAGGGTATATTTCCCAGGTCCCAGGTCCCATATAAATTTTATTGAAATCTGTCGAGCGGGTTTAAAAAAAATCAACAATAAATTATTTTTTAAAATAAATTGTTTAATCGAATATGTTATTAAAAAACTTTCTTCTTGCAAATTATGCCTACTGGAAAAATAAAAACTTAAAAAAAATGGACTTCCAGGCACTAAAATGTAAAAAATAACTAAACGGGGGTTTTCATTTAGAATACATACCTAATCACATATTTTTTAAGTCGGTGCCAGCCGACAATATTTTAAGATATGAATATCTAAAAGGTAAATTTATGAATTTTACGTTTCGAAATATATTAGATTTGCTTTGCATCGGCTGGCACTGACTTCGAAAATATCTGATTAGGTAATAGGTATCTATTCTAAATAAAAACCCCCGTTTAGTTATTTTTTACATTTTAGTGCCTGCAAGTCCATTTTTTTAAGTTTTATCTGCTGGAAATTTGTATATTTTAACTATAAATTTGCTTATGCGTTTGCTTTTATTAATTTGCTTATATTATATTAATGCTCTTCAATACATTTAAATAAATACGTGTTTTAGCATTTTTCGAAATTCATCCTATAAGGGGGTAAAATAGGGGATGAAAGTTTATATTAAACCTATCTCTTTTAGAGTTTTTTTTGTAGTTTTAGCGCGAGCGAGTTCTGCTAGTATGTGTATAAAAATAATTACTATTGAAACAGTGAGAAAATCAACAAATAATAATAATTTAGTTTCCGTAACATTTTTATACTTTTTAAATATTAGAACCTAGACCTTAATGTGATACTAACAAGAACTGCTTGCTGCCTAACAATAGGCGATAAAGCAACTCAACGACCATTTTTTCAAGTAGTTATTATGATTTCTGACAGTAAACACATTTTTTTTTCATTGGAATAAAAAAAATCCTATAATAATACAATGTAACATTCAATTCCTGATAAAATTTTCGGAATCGAATCAGTAGTTTCAAAGATTACATACATACAAACTTTACAATATTAATGTAGATAAGCAAAATATTATTTATTATATTTATACTATGTTATTTATTATACATAGATTTTTATAAAAAAAATATAATTTAATAGGATGGCAGGCTACGTAGTGGAGACATGCTCCTGCGCATCGGAGCGGTGTGCGTGGTGGGGATGTGTGCGCGGCAAGCGGCCGCCGTACTGCGACAGTGTGGCGCGTGTGTTCGTCTGTTAGTTGCTAGACCCGCCCATAGTAACACCTTACAGCCTACGATACAAGTAAGTAAATAAATATGACTTAAGATAGCAACAGGTAACGTACAAATGCATAAATTTGACTGAAATTTAAAAATGAAAAATAGGAAAAGAAACTCAGTGGGACATACCCATTACCCACCATAAAACATACATACGCACAATAAATACCTACCTACCTATTATATAATAAAACTATTGGCTTTTAATTTTTTTATTGATAATACCGGTAATAGCTACTAAAAATATAAGAAAATCGATTAACAAACAGAGGAAAAATAGGTACTGAAGTGTATTGTTTTTGCTTTTTTATATAGAAAATAAATAAATATATTTATAAAAAAAGGCTGATTTTTTGTAAACAAAAAACTTAAAAAAGAAACAGACTTCCAGGCACTAAAATGTAAAAAATAACTAAACGGGGGTTTTCATTTAGAATAGATACCTAATCAGATATTTTCGAAGTCGGTGCCTGGATAATACTTTCTTAGGTTTACGTGAACATTTTACATTTTATTTGATAGCTTATGGAATTTTCCACTCAATAACTTATGTCTATCAATAAACCACGTCGATCTATTGTCTAATAGGGTGTGAAAGCAAGATAAAAAAATATATTGGGATACTAACACATAACACCATCTAGTTCCATGGTAAGATACGAGATTTGTGTTATGGATACCAGATAGTTGATACACTACACATAATTTAAATACATGCATATTATAAATATAAACACCCATGGATGGAGTACAAACATTCGTGCTCATCACACAAATGAATGCCTCCAGCGGGACTCGAAACCGCGACCACTGGCACAGCAAGTAGGGTCACTACAAACTGAGCCAAGCGTTTCGTCATATCGTCAAAAAAAAACATACATCCGTTTTTCATAATTAATCTATACAGATAAATAAAATTGAAGTGTCTGTTTGTAATGTCAAAATAGCAGCGTTTTACTAAATGCGTTTTATGAAATTATATAAGTACCTAGTTTACCTAGGTAAGTACGGTAGGTAAATAGTAGTTTCTAAGTAGAAAAACACAATATTTAAATTTTTTGTCTGTCTGTCTGTTTGTTCCGGATAATCTCTGAACGGCTGGACTGATTTTGACGAGACTTTCAATGGAAGATGGCTGATATTATAGGGAGTAACATAGGCTACTTTTATTTTAGAAAAAGAATTCGGGTTCCGCTCAAAAAATCAAAACGTACTTATTTAGTAATTAATAACAATTTATATATTTAACACAAACAACATATATTTAATGAAAAATATACTTCGCATCTCTTCGGAAAACTGTATACTAATGAAAAAAATTATAACTACACACACACAAATGTATAGATACAATACAAGACATTATGAGTATATTTTGAATATTTATTGAAAAATCTTAAACATTAGAACACACATCTATGAATTGTACCACGCCACGTCGTAATTGCTGTCTGGTGGCAGGAGCTGTATGATCCGGATATTGAGCGATTTGCCGCGGTCAGGAAATAACAGGCTCGATTACCTATATGAAAAAATTGCGCAAAGTCGAACTATTATTATAAATGTTATTAAAAGTTTGTGTGTGAATGCTTGTTATTCCTATACGTTCAATCGGCTGGATGATACTTTAGATTTACGCAAATATTTGACATTTTAAAAAAAACTATATTTTCGTTTTTTTTTCGCGGATTTATTTTGATTTTTGGTTCCCGACGTTTCGAATGCTTTACAGCAATCATGGTCACGGGAGAGAAGAAACGTCGGGAACCAATAATCAAAATAAATTCGCAAAACAATTCGAAAAGATGGTTTCTTTTAAAACGGCTAAATGAATTTGGATCAAATTCAGTGCACAGATATACTATGTATGATCTGAAGCTATGAACATAAAGCTACTTTTAGGCAAACTAATCAAGTGGGGAGCAGGTACCAAGTGTTTATATAAAAGGCAAGTTTTCTTCTCTTTTCGTGACCTTTTCGTTTCTTTTCGTGATTAAATAAGAGTTAATAACACCTTTTTTTAAATTAATTATTATATGTACGAATTATCTGAAATCATGTTAAAGTATAGGTTTTTTATATCACCATATTTTATCATAATTGCAATTTTTTTATATATCATGTATAATATTGATAATGATAAACACCTCCACGTAAATTTCTAAGAAATTAATTAAATTTCTAAGAAATCTATTGTTAACTGTAACGCCAGCGTGTCCGCGCTCGTTGAGGGATTAATAGAAATATAAGCTGTTCATTTTCAAATAAGTCGAATAATCATTTAAAGAACTACTAATAATGAGATGATATTCATGTATTGGTAAGAAAATATAGTTGCTGCTAAAATATTAGATTTTTAATTAAAACAACAAAATAGTAAAGTTGTTATAGAAAAAAATATAGCAAACATACCGTTAGGATCCATAGAGTCAATGAAATTTGTCATATGAGGGACTAAAGTCCCTCGACCGCTAAGCGAGTTATGCGTTCACCAATTCTACAATGGTTCACCTATTTTGTAAGTTTTACCAACCTTTTGTATTTACTTTCGTTTGGTATTTCTTTCTTTAAACATTTTGTGAATAGCATGAATATACATAATATTCATATATAAGGAAATCGTAGCCCAGTGGTAACGCGGTCGCTTGGGAAACCGTGTATAGCGTATTCAAATCTTAGGTCGTTCATCTCTGATATTTTCATGTGCGAATCATTACTAATATGATTAGCACCTTAAAGGAAAAAATCGGTAAAAAAACCCTACATGGGTTTCCTCTGAGAGAATCTAGCAAGTTTTTGAAATAATAATGCAGTCCGTCAACCCGCACTTGGCCAGCATGGTAGACTATGGCCCGATCCCCCTCGTATTGTAGGGAGATCCACCCCCAGCAATGGAAAGTTAAAAAACTCTTATAATCATAAACACAACATTGTGCCCAAGTGACCACCTTTTCTACTTCAATTTTATTTAATATACAAATATATATTTCTAAAATTTAATAATATTGTGATAAACATCAAAGCTTTGATGCTATAGCAAGAATTTCATATCAAAGCAAATTTCACCGTCAAGAAACGTGCAAACTTTAGTACCTTGACATATCATACAATAAGTAAAACGTTTGTCGACAAACTTTAATGGACGTTTGCCAGCGATATAAATATATTACGTACCTTTAAGAAATATTTTTCCTTGTTATATAATAACTAGCATTGCCCGCGGCTCCGCCTGCATTCAAATGACTAAAAACCAAATATCTTAGGTTTTACATATTAGTATACTCTTGCAATGCAGTTTTTGTATTTTTTCTCAAAAATGAGATATTTTCCTGTGGTAAAAAGTATTCTATATGTTGACCCGGATAAGCAGCTATCATCATAACAAATTTCATCAAAATCTGTCCAGTGGTTTTCTCGTGATGCGGTAACAGACAGACAGACAAAAATTCTAAAAACTATAGATTCGGACTCAATATCGATAATAATGTCTATTTCAATAAGATTTTCCAAAGAATATTTAATGTACAGATTCGACTTAGTTACAATTTTATTATATGTATAGAATACACTATAATAAATAATAATATACACGTTTTTCTTTTCACAAACAACTGCTTTTACTTTTAAATATAAAATTTAAGTACGGTTCATGCCGTATAAGTTCGTAGTTAGGAAAATTCTTGTCAGCCGACGCGACGCAATTACGTAGCGTCTGATAGCGTGGACGCTCATTTGACATACGAGAGAGTGTGGCGGTGGAATTCTACTTATAAAACGAAAAAGTATTACAAAATTATACACACTGTATAATATATTATATATCTACATGTATAATAAAATTCTGAGTCGAAGCTGTATATAATTTTTTTTTTGAAAATCTTATTGATATAGTCATTATTATCGATACAGAGGCTGAATCTATAGTTTTTAGAATTTTTGTCTATCTGTCTGTATGGGAACGCATCACGAGAAAACCACTGGGCAGATTTTAATGAAATATATATTATAATTATAGGCTGCGTTTTACTGCGTGGAAATATCTCATCTCTAAGAAATCGTAAACGTAAATAGTATTACGTAATAAATGATAGATTGATCATGTCATTATCTTTAGTTGCGAAAAAAAATAAAAAATAATTTAATTATTTTTTTAATTAATTATTATCTACATTCGAAAAACTCTTAATTCTTGCTATATAAACAATTGTGTTCTTTTTATTAACAGCTAGCGACTTACCCTCGCTTGGGTCGGTCAGTATTTTTCCATACATTTTATTACTTCATTTCGAACCATTTAGGCAGATAAAGCAACTCAAGGACCAGTTTTTTTCCGTGTTCAATTAAATTTATTATGATTTTGGACACTAAACACGTTTTTGCCGGAATAAAAATAGCCTATAGCACTCTGTGGTACTGTAGCTTTCTAGTAGTTAAAGAATTTTCATCAACAGTGATAGAACATGGTACATTCAAAGATCCAACAACATACAAAATTTACATATTTATATTACTATAAAAATGCTTGTATTAAAATAGAATTCTATGGTCTAGATCTGAAAGATATCGTAAGTTTATATGAAAACCTTGTGTTTTTGTTGCTAGAAACATAAAGATCGTTCTACAAGTAAATCATGTACGTATAACTTAGAATTCGACTATTCGATTATGACTTCGAAAATATCTGATTAGGTATCTATTCTAAATGAAAACCTCCGTTTAGTTATTATTTTTCCATTTTTAGTGTAGACGTAATAGGCAGGTAATTTGTAAGAAGAAAGTTTTTAAATGACATATTCGATTAAACAATTTATTTAAAAAAAATATATTTATTGTCGATTTTTTAAAAAAAACCACTCGACCGATTTCGATAAAATTTATATGTGACCACCTGAGAGGTATAACCCTTTGAAACAAAAAAAATCCAAATCGGTTCAGGCGTCTTTGAGTAATCGGTGAACATACATAAAAAAAAGATTCCGACGAATTCAGAATCTCCTTTTTGGAAGTCGGTTAAAACAACGG